AAGCCAGGAGCTGGCAGTCTCTCTCCTGCTGCAGTGGTGTGGGAGAGCCTGGGGCAATGGTTTCTCCTCACCGCTTTTTCAAAAGCAGAAAAACTATTGTTCGTTTTAGAAAATAATGGTGCTTGGCTTGTGCGACCTGGAAAGAGCCAGGGATGAAGCAGAGAAGCTGCAGCACCAGCTGTTTCACCAGGGGCCTGGCCACCTACTCACAAATGAGCCCCCACGTACATGTGCAGTCTCTCTCAGCATTTTCTTTCCAGGGAGGGTTTGTTGATTTAAAAAAAAAAGAAAGAAAAAGAAAATGGTGTTTGGCTTCTGCGTCCTGATAGTTGCTAGAGTCCAAGCCCAGCTAGCTGTGGCACCAGCTGTTGTACCAGGAAAGCCCTGGCCGCTAGCTCCCTAGCCCTCACTCAGTCAGCCACTCACATGCCCACTCGCTCACCAGCACGTACACAAAATTTTCCATACACTCACTCGCTCACACGGGGGTCTCATAGTCCAACTGGCTCAGCCACCATCTTCCTGATGACTGGTATTCTTTATGGAGTCATCCCCTTGCCCCCACCCACCCCTCCATTTCACTCTTGCTCTCACAGATACCTGCTGCCCTCATTTCTCCTACTTCTTGACCTTTGTGGCTCCATGCTTAGAGGCCTAGGCTTTAGCCTTCTCTTGTTTTCCATGTCAGTTACCCCTCATTTATCCTCCCAAAAGTGATGTTAGCAGAAAAATTTAGCAACAATTAGTGCCTTGAGGTTAACATGATCCTGCAAGAGCGTTCTAGGAATCAGACTGTCTGAGTTTTTCTGTGGCAATTTCTGATTTGCTGTGACCTTAAGTTCCTTCTTTGTGCCTTGGTTCCTTTCTCTTTTTTTTTTTTTTTTTTTCAGTTGGAGTCTCACTCTGTCGCCCAGACTGGAGTGCAGTGGCCACTCCCGGCCACCGCAGCCTCGACCTGCTGGGCTCCGGCGATCCTTCCGCCTCAACCTTCCAAGTAGCTGGAACTACAGGCATGCACTACCATGCCTGGCTGATTTT